GCACAAATGAGTAGCTATTGGCAGTTAATAAAATACAGAAGAGCAACGAAGGTACCTTCTTTGAGGTGTCATCTGTGGTTCCAGCTCCTAGGAGATTCTCGACAGATACATCGACCGTCGAAGTAGGGACTTCACCAGCAAGGGCAGCAAAGGCATCAACCATATTCTCTATGAAAATGTCACATTTGAAGCATTGGGTTTGGTACTCCGACCACCAGACATTAAAACTTTTTGTTGTGAAGAAGGATGGTTGAAAAGAAAAAACAGGTAACTCAAGGCGTTCAGTCGACCTAGAAAACTTGAGGCAGTTCTTGTGGCCTGTCAGGTTTAGTCTTCGACCAACCGACACAATGTTAGAGGAATGTCGCACCAAGGACTTTGGCAGCAGCTGGCTCAAACCAAATTGATGGGCCACCAAGTTAGGTTGGTAATTCATAAACCCATAGGTTGTATTCCCTGTCTCAATTCGAAACAAAAACATGGTGGGATTTAGAAACACCCTCCATATAGAATTCGACACTGCGGCCGTTTTTGGGGAAGCGCCAGGGAATGGATTTTTGAACCATGACAGACCAAATCATCAATGCACAAAGGGAGCCATGCCAGGGACGAAGGAAGTTGATTTTGCAAACATGTTGAGATATTTTATGAAGAAGGTTTTTTTGGGAGTTTCTTGAGTAGTCATCAAGGCGAGTCGAACGCCTTCTATGGGACGTTCTTCACTCAGAGGCTGCATTGTTGCAGATACGGGGTAACCCAGCTGGTGCTCGAATGTGGCATTGAGCCAATGTTGTAACAACCACATAGGCCCTGAAACATTCAAGGCTTTGGTGGTCTTTTGAAGGAGTTTTATTCTCAAGGTCGATAGACTAAGAAAATGATAGAGAGAGGATAGTAGAAGCTTACACAATGATACCTGTCGACCCTCATGTATTTGGATCGCCAGGTTGATATAACTTTTAGCTATTTGTAGAGATCCAGGACATAAAAGGTAGTAGGATAGTAAGGAAGGCGATGTGTTCTTCGTCTGACACTGTATAAGAATCTTTATCATCATGGTCCTCTATGTAGTTCTGGAAACCAACACGTTCGAAGTCGAAAGTGGCGCCCGTTTCTAGGTTCGGATCAAAGGTTTCGCCCAGAGAAGAAAGACTCGTGATGGTTGCCACGTCAAAAAGGGTCAGCGTCAACATACCACAGGGGAAATGGAATGTGTTGGTCAACCCTTCCCAAAAATACATCGACACCAATAGAAGGCAAGGGTTAACCCTATGAGCATTCCTGAAGAGTTGAATGGTGTCGAAGATGCCACCTGTCTTCCATTATTCCTAACGCTTGCCTTGGACCTTGTTAAGGCAGAAGATGTAATCTTTGTTTCCTGGAGTAGACATCAACCTGAAAACGCGAGCCTTTGGCGCCATAAACTTGAGGTCGAGGACGCCACCTTTCTGAAAAGTTGGGAGAATAGTGGGAAGGTAGCAAGGGATAAATGCTTGAAGTTTCTCATGGCTGGGTTTTGTATCAGGGTATGACCCATGGAAAGCATGTAACTTTCCAGCCACCGCGAAGGGTATGACCATTCGGCGTTTCCAGGTCGCTATCACCGCGTTGTCAGCGGACATTGGATTCGGAAGAGGCCTGCGGGATTCGGCTTTAGGGAGAACAAAAGCGATGGGGTTGTTTTCGGTGGTGTGAGTAGAGGAAGCGGTTGAAGAAACCATTGAAAGATAAGGTTAAAGGAATTCTAGGAGCGAAAACTTGAAGGAAAGGGAAGTGTGAGAAAAGTTGGAAAAGAAAACCAAATGTAGGCAATAGCTATTTATATGCAAGTTTCATGCAGTTGAAAAGGCAAGGGGTTGTTCTGATTCTAGAGTGAGTGGGAGTGGGTTAAAGGCCTATAACGTAGGACGCGAGTATGCATGATTAGTTTTCTTGAAAATCGTGGTGCAGAAAGGTGCCATTATTACGTCAGACTGTGGGTGACGCGTGGATGACTCGACAAAAATAAAATGATGGTGTTGCTGGGTGAGAATCAATGTACAGTTGAAACCTCACAGGAAACCAAAATTCCAAGTTTCTCAGTCGACACAGTGCTCAGTCGAAACTGGGTTTTTGAGGGGGCATCTTGTTGGCTGGAAGAACTTCGACTGGAAAAAATTGGCATAGAATTTGACTTGTGGGTCGACAGGCTAGGAAAGGTGGTGAAGGAAACGTGGTAAGTCGACGTCAGTAGAAGAAGGTTGTAAGTCGAGTCAAGAAGATTACGTCGAAAGTTTTGACTAGTGGCCAAGGAAACCGACACGACATATGAGAACTTTTGAGCGGGAAGAAAATTTAAAAAGCTAAGAACTTGGAGAAGTTACAAAAGTGGTGGAGGGACACATGGCGCCACCAAGACTAACATAGTAGTTATTTTCTTTTCCTATTTAAGGCAATGCCCATTTTCATTTTAGGGGGCACATTTTGTAACATTGTAAGAGAAAAACACTCTGAGTACCAAGCGTTAAGAGAAAAGAGTTTATTCCTGCAAAATGTATGATCGCGTCCACATTTCCTTTTAAGCAATTTACATTACCAAACTTTAAGATATTTATTTTCTTTTACTCGTTTATTTTATTTGTCCTTCATTTGATATACACATATTTATTTGAGTTTGTTTCCAATCTATTCTAAACAAAATTATTCTACCACCGTCGCATAGACTCGACCACAGAGTTCTGGGACTTGTTTGGTCGGTCCCGCAAGTAAACCTGTGTTAGGAGGTCAGAGGTTGTTCGCGCGAAAACTGTGTGCGAACACCGTGATACATAACCTTTATAGGTGATGGCGTTGTACTCTGTATGGCTGGGTTGTGGGTTTCATCGTATGCACCCTAATCTACCTGAGCAAGTCATGCACCAGTTTGGAGATATCTAGGGTATACCCATAGACCATAATGTTGTTGCTCCTGCCTAGGGGTGGCAAAATGGATGGATTGGATGAATATGGATTGGATTGTTAATAGATGGATCAAAGCAATTCATTAATCCATTAACAATCCATTAAACTCTCTTAATAAAAATCCAATCCATCCATTAAAAGATAAAATCCATCCAATCCCTCCATTAACATATTTCTAATGGATGGATATCCATCCATTCAAAAAATTAATTTAAAAATTCTTAATTTAATAAGTGACAACATAATATCCAATGGATTTATAAAATGAGATGGATGAATTGAATCCATCCATATGAGTTAGTGGATGGATTGGATCAAATCCATTAAATTATTTTTTGTCTTATGGATGGATTGGATGGATAAATTATTGGATGGATTGGATGAATATTATCTAAATGGATTTCATTGCCACCTTTACTCCTGCCACTGTCCACCACAAAGATGTTGATGAGATCTTTGCAGCGTACTTTGATCATTTGGTGTCCTAGGATGTACGACGTGTGCTAACTCCTCATTCATAGAGTATGGTATACGGTTGCATCTAATTGTTTTATAGAGTGTCACGTCCTTTCATGACACCATATGAAGAGGGATATCCTTCGAGGCAGTTCATCAGAGACATCTTATAGGAGGAGGAGGGGGAGAAGGTGGGATCATGTCGTTGATGTGTTACATGTATGTCAACACATTGTGGTCATTGCCACAACTAAAGGCTAATTCGAGAAAGGCACCCCTCAGATGGCCACTCTACAAGACATCTTAGTAGAGACACATAATGCATTGTATTACTGACGACATAGGAGGAACATGAGTGTCAGATAAGGATGGCAATTAGATCCATTAAGCGAAGATCCATCCAATCCATTCACTAAAAAATTCATCCAATAGATAAAAAAATAGTTAATAGATAGATTGAATAAATTATACTAATGAATTGTTTTGATCCATTCATTAATAATCCAATCCATATCAATTAAATTCATCTATTTTGTCATTTCTAGTGTCAGATATACCCTAGTAAAATTGTATTTTGTATATTTTGAATGATTTGATATTATGGTTTGTATTTGGATTGATTATGACGCGGTGATATTTTGTATTTGACATTTTAGCATATATATATATATATATATATATATATATATATATATATATATATATATATATATATATATATATATATATTAATTTACTATTTTGAACTATTTTATTTGAATTTCTTTTGAATTGATTTATAATTCAAATTTATAAATAAATAAATAAAAGTTAAATTCCATCTAACAAATGGTGAATCCAGATATTGGAATCTAGATCTATGATACAGAAATTGAAATTCAAACACAAATATGGAATATCTCAATCATAAAGTGATTTAGTTGAAAAATAGTTGCTTCCGGATATTTAGAACCTGGAGTCTAAGAAAGACATTTTGAAGTTTTTATAGTGTTTGATCACGGATGTAGTGAAGATCAGCCGAGTCTATTTGTGATTTTACAGCAATATAAACTATTACCATTTTCTCTTTCATTTTCCTTTATACACCGTCAATCGCTAATCTCTTTTGCATTGCATTACCCACTTGGTAAGTTTGAGATATTCTTTATCCCAAAAGAAAGAAAGGAGGAAATTATGTTCCATACCATGCTTTTCCCAAACAAAGGAAGTGGAATATGCGCTTTTGTGGAAGAGCAATTTGCTATGAATTTCCCAACCATGAAACAAGCTGCTATAAAACGAACCGACAATCTTTTCTGTATTTAAATAATTCACCATAGTTTTATGCTTACATATAAATCAAAGGATACATCTTCAAGAATAAACTTCGATGTCATGTCAGTATAACTTGGAAGAAAGTTTCCATTCTACCAAGAGGAAGAAAAAATGATGATCCATCACTTGAACTATTAGGAGACCAATAGTCCCGGAACCCTAAAAATGCAGCCATGTTTTTTATGTCATGACCAAGCCTTCAACCAATTAATAAAAAAGTGCAAAATCTAATTAAGGCACTTGGTTCCAACTTGGGGAAAAACATTGATGACCGACATCATTAAGACTGCTTAAACAATTTCACCCGGCGGCAATTCAGCCAGCTTTGAAGGAGTTCCAAGTACTCTTTCCATGTCATATCGAACTTCAATGTTGCGAATGCTGTATCCAACCACCATCAACCAATAAAGCAGTTTGGCAAGTTCAGGTGCACTAGTCTCAGTCACGCTAGTCTATAAAAATCAGAATTGAAACAAAAGTTAAACAAAGATCAGAAATGAAAGTTACAGTAATAGCAAGCAAAAAGAGAAGGCTGTTAACCACCTCAAACTTGTGAATCAATTTGAAAAAAATCTAGTAGTGATTGCCTTAGTTCACATAAACACAAATCTAATTTACCTATAATATGTCTATCTGAGATAAGTTTTTTAGTAAATTAGAAAGTTACTATGATTATATTAATAAGAGGAAAGAATTCAAGAGAGGGAATCTAGTCAATTGAGATGGTAAGGGCAGTTGAGCATTTGTGCAGACTGCTCCAAACCCTTGAGACTCGAGAGTTTTACAATTCATAAAGTAAAAAGATGAAGTTCCTATAAGTATATCCTGACAGATTTATCAGGCAAGGCACAAGAAATCTTAACACTGCCGTGTATGCTTTAAACTTAGTTCACATGGTTAAAGAGCACAAATTACAAGTTCAGTTATTCAAAGTCGGGACTAAAAAGGGTACAAAAAAAACTTTATTTTCCAATCAAATGTGTGTGATAAATCAATTTTCTGATCAGGTAATAAAAATTCAGTCTGAAGTACTCAAAACAACAACACATAGTAAATTCTATAATCCAAGTTAAACACTAAACACAGAGAACATAAAAAGAAATGATTCTGAAATTAAATTCAATAATAACCAAAATAATAAGTGTGAGCACGGCAATAATAACTTGAAAAGGACAACTTTGACATAGGACATGGGCAAGGTGGAATGAAGTCTCCGTTAAAAATGGGACGTGGAAAAAAAACATATTAGGAATTAGAGATATTGAAACAAACCTTCATTTGACTAGGATCTGCAACAGCCAGCAGGCGCTTTATGAATGTATTCATTGCAAACACAACGTCCTCCCCAGCACTACTAGTTAAATCCTACATGAAAAAAGAAGGGTTACTATCGCACAAAATTGATTCTAATCACACAAAATGAGTAAAACTTGAAGACTGAAGTGATTTAGTTTAATTATTCAGATGAGATGTTAAGTCAAAGTTATAGAAGAATATACTACAGCCTGTAGAGTGCCTATGCTGGTAAGTTAACAACAGCAGATATATAATTGTGGTGAGTGAGTAAAGTAACGCCATATTAATACCTAGCGCTGAACAGAAATGCAATTCCAGATATTCAAAATACCGGTTCAAGATCATTAATTCCAAAAAATCAATACTCATTAGATAATAAATTTTGCATTAGCCCATATTTTCAGAATTAACCCCAATAAAAGATACAGTACAGGTCAGTATAGAGAAGTGTATGTTAAACAGACAGCACACATCAGCTGGAAAGAGGCAAAAAAGTACTTGTATAACGACAAAGAAAAGTAGAATCAACCTTTAAATTTCGAGGCTCAAGAGATTTTAGGAATTCCAATAGCTCATTTTGTGCATTATTAGACTGTCTTCCAACTTGACGATTTAGCTCCTCAATCTCTGCTTCAAGTATTTCAATGTACTTTTTAGCATCCATTCTTTCAGGCCCAGAAATATTGTTCCACCGAATGATTTCACCTGAAACATTCTTTTGTGTCCCAGGAGCATAGTCTGGAACATCCTGCAACATTTTATGAGTATAAATTAGAGAATGCACAAACACAGCATTTACTTGGTGTCTTAAATCATGAAGTAATTCTCCAAAGGAAAATATCAAGGTCATTTAACCAGCAAAAAAGTTTTTTGAAAACCAAATTTTCAAGACTTAACACTTTTCATACCTAGGCCTGACCTGATATACTCAACAACAATTTTTTTCTTTTCTGCTATGCTGCTAGCCGACGCCACACGAAAGAAATTCCTATACTATTTCTTTTTCTTTTTCTATGTTATATTCTAAATAGTTAAGGGTAGTAAAAGATAGAAACTACAAATAAGTCATCCGACCATCAGAATTAGTGTTACACACCCTTAGAGTGATCCAAACATGTCACTAACTTCTGCACCACATAATCCCAAAAAGACAAGGAAGATAAGTGGTGTACCTTTTTATCTTGCACATCAGGAAGGGCAACTTGTTCCAAACTTTCTTGCAGTTCCAAACGGTATTGTGCATTTCTAAACATGTATCCAGTCATCATGACACTGTACATAAGCTGTGCAAGGTTCTCAGCTACCTGAATAGAAAGCCAAATGGTTCTCACTGAAATAAGTAAGAAGCATGGAGAAAATAGAAAACAAAAATGAAGAACTGCAATTCAACCCAGCTCCGTGGCTTCATGTTGAAAGAGCCTAACTAGGTAATACATGATAAGTGTAATTTAACCAGTGCAGCCAGGAAATCAGCATCTACCATTCCACCCAAACATAACCAGCATGTAGAAACTGCTTATCATTAAATCATAAAATGACAGTAACCACAAGTCAAGAAGGGAGAAAAAAACTCATAATCTTACAGTGGTGACTGTTATAGAAAAAAACTGAGGAGGCAGTGTTCCAATCATATTCGTCACAGTTTGTCGCATTGCATCCACAACCTAACCACCAAAACAAATCCCATTCAATATTACACAAGGAAACCAACAGCCATTTGTACATGACAATCAATTAACGGTTTCACTAATGTTCATAACAAGACAAAACATTACCGGTTGAGGTGCTCTTTTCACAAACAACTCCATAAATTCCGGCTGCACGTTCTTGACATATTCCAGTAAGATTTCTCTCCTGCTCTTTGACTGGTAATTTCAAAACATATAATTAATCACAAATCAGAAACACAGTCATATAGATACACAGAAACATATATACTTTTTTTTACTTGAACAATTCATTCATCCATTAGAGTACTCTATCCTATCCTACTTCAATTAAATATAATACTGAAGAAACCTATGATTTCATACATAATCAATAGAAATATTAATAATTAGGTTAATTTTCAGATAAAGAAGAGAGGATTAGGAATCAGTACCAGAGTGCCGTTAGGGGATTTGGAGTCGCCAGAACTAGCAGAATTGGGAGAATCATTTTTGGACGATTCAACTCTGAAACTAAGTCTTCCTTTATGGTTTGAATTTCTCGGAAAGGTGATGGATGAAGGTGAACGAGTTCGGAGAGAAAATCGAGAAATTGAAGATGAAGATAACGAAGCAGAAGTTGAAGAAGAAGAAGAAGATAGTGTTAATTGAGGTCTGAATGAGGGTTTCGCTGTTAACAAATACATGGTGATAAAATAAGGTATATGCGAAGGAATCGATTCTGTGAAGTGTTGGTTATGGTTTGTATCGGAGTTCAGTTTGGAATTTCAAAGTTGTGAGGGTTTGTTCTGCTTCCCACTTAAAAGACAGGGATGAGCTTCGCACGTGACTTGCAACTGCGGCGTACGGTTAAATATCCATACTTGAGAATGTGAGTGGATTCTTAGAACTCGCGACGAAGACAACAATGTCCAATTAAATGGAAATATGTGAATATTCATTTATTTTATATTATCTTTTTTACTATAAAATATTCAATTCTTAGGATTTGTTTCATTTGTAAAATAAGAAGAATTGAACATAATAATACTATTATTTTTTATAAATAAATTTTAATTTTTTAGATTTATTGAATAATTGATATATATAAACTATATATTATCTAAATATATAAATTTAAAAAATTAAAATTATTTATAAAAGAGAATGATATAAAATAATTTTTTTATATTATATCGTGTTTGATGATCAATGCACCGGATAAATTTTTGTTTATTTTATTTGATATGTTCATGTATTGAATAATAATTTTTACTATAATATTTTTATTATTATATAAAATATTAATATTTATGATCAAAATATTAAATAATGATAAAGAGAACAATAATGACATTATTTGTTATATGTATGCATCACACTAAAATAATATATAATTTTTATAATTTTTTATTAATAAATAAAATGTTAATATTATATTTATAAATTAAAATATTAAATAGCGAGAAAGATTAAAATTATATTTTGATATTTTTTTATTATTTATTTTTGAGATAACAAATTATTTCATAATTTAATGAGAGATAATAATTCATATTTTTGTCTGGTCCCTTATCATATATTTTTTTCTTTTTCATGATAAGTTTATACATCAAACGAATAAAAAAAGATATCTTGTTTAATTTTTTTTTTTAACAAATCAAATGCATCTTATATAAATTGCCTAATAAATTGATTTTTTCTTCTTGTTTTTTAGAGGATATAATAAAATACTTTATCAAAATATAATTTTTTAAAAAAACTCTTATGTATTTTATATCTTTAAGTTTCTTCTTCATTTCATTACACACATAATTTCTTTTAAAATAAGAGTCCTTAAACCCATAAAATATTAGCTTCAATTAAGTGGGATGTCAATATTTTAGTACTATCGACTGAAAAAAGTAAACTAATTTAAAAAGAAATATGTTCATAAATCATCAAGTTGAATTCTCATTTATTTCTTATGATTGTTAGAGATGGTAATTTATTCCATATTTACGGGATATCCGCAAAAATTGTCTACAATAGATAAGGTAAAAATCCGTAAAATGAGATCGGACATAAATTCATATAAATATCTATTAAAATAAGCAGGTATGAGTATGACCGACCCAATCTAATGTGAGGCCTAAAGCGAATATTAAAACGAGCTATTTTATTGTTCATCCACTCTAACTAAAATATTTGATTTTTAGGAGATGTTGTAATATATTTTTAAAATTTTTTTTTAGTATTATAAAATTAATGTTAAAGTTGGTAATTAAATATTTACATTTTATTTATCAAGATTGAATTATTCTTAAAAATAATTAGTTTAAAAAATATTTATGTTTTAATTTTGGTTTAAATGCAATTTTAATCTCCTTTATTTACAAATTTTTAACAGTTTCTCTTTTAATTTTTTTCAGTCTTTTAGTCCCTCAAGTTGTCATTTTTTGGGATTTTTTTTAATCCAGCTCGTGTTTTGATTATGTGGCACTCAAAAGATGTCATGTCATTTAATTAGTTGACCAAGTTAATGACATGTCATGAAATTTGTATTTTCATTATTTTATAAACCTGTAAACTATTTTGGACCATGTTTATATATCAAAGAACCCTAATTTCTTCAGCTGCTTCCATAATTCCCCCTAATTTCTTCCGCTGCTATTAATCCCGAATAGCAGGGTGGAGCGGCCGACTCCAAAGTGGGATAGTGGGATATTTTTTGTTGACTTTTTAGAATCGACTATTTTTTAGATTAAATATATGAATAATCTATACAAATAACACAACATAATTTTTTTTACAAAAATCAAATTAATAAAATCAAAATGGATTAAAGACTTAATTATCTGATATATGTTATTATTATTTTGATTATTTATAATTGTATGGGATGAGGTAAGTGAGTATTTAACTTTTTTGGCTTAGGATTGACCTTATTTGGTACCTTTAATGCAAATAAGAAGATAAAGGCAAAATACTCATTTTCGTTCCTTAACTTTAACTCGGGGTCCAGTTTGGTCTCTTAACTTTAAAAAGTGTCAAGTTGGTCCTTTAACTTTTAAAATGGTGTCAATTTAGTCCCCACTGTCAGTTGTCTCCAAACGTCCGTTTATTTTATATATTTGGAAAATGACCTGGAAATTGTGTTCATCATGTTGCTTCCTTCTCCTTCCTTTTTCCGTTCACATTGTTCGACTGTGATTTCCCAATCCCAAATCCCTAAATTAATCTAGGGTTTTTTTATTTGGCAAGCATGAAATCTGGTTGTTCCTTCTCCATGTTGAAATCAGAAAGTCGAGATTCAGATGTTTGCAGTAGGTCACGATGGAAGCCCATATGCCATTGTGGAGACATGGTTGTTCTTCAAAGGGTAACTACTGTTAAGAATATGGGGAAAAAAATTTAGGGTTGTCTAAATTATAAGGTATGCAAGTTAGTTTTGTTCTCTGTTGAAGTTCTGTTTTTGTTTAAGTTATGTTTTTGTTTCTGTTTCTGTCCAAATTATAAGTTATATTTCTGTTTAAGTTTAAATTCATTATTCATCATCCTCTAAACAATAAAACTTACAAGGAGGTATGCAAGCTGGTTGTGGTTTCTTTGGTTGGTTTTATGAGGAGATGGGTGATGAGAATGAGCAATTTTGGATGCATAGGCTGGATGTGGTTGTCATACCCTAATTTTTGACCCTAAGATTCTGTTTTGCATTTCTGCATTTCATGTCCACCTTTTAGGACAAAACATAGGATCTTTCTGTAACTAATTATCTTCCACCAGGAATGTACGAAGACCATTGGCATTCATACCTTCTGATTCAAGTTAATTAAATAGTGGCATCTGTCATACCCCAATTTTATCCACTCTTCATATGCTTTCGAGTGAATTTTTATTTTGAATAAATGAGATAGCATAGTTGGTAAGAAGGTATGTGTAAAAGGTTTAATCATAAGGTTGTGAGTTTAAGTCCTGTTGTATTTATTTTCTTTTTTGTGTGTTTTCATTAAAAAAGGGTAAAAAGATCATTTTTCCATTATTTAATTTTTATTTTTGTTTTTTTATTTAGGAATATTTTGAAAAATAATTTTTTATTTTTAAATCTTTATTTTATGCATTAAATAAATAAATAAATAAATAATCAATAAAATAAAATAAAATCTCAAGACCAATTCAATATTCATTCCAAAATAAGTCTTAAACATAATCCAAACATGTTTGAATGAAAGAAGAAAGTTTTCAAAATCCAAAACATGTTCCAAACATGTTCTAGACAAATTTGATTTCCTTCCAAATCAACATCTCAATGTCAAGATTCAAAATGTCTATAAAAGAGGGAAAGAAACCAACACTTAAAAAAAAAGAGACACCCTCATAAGAAAGAAAAGATACACAAATAACATACAGATCGAAGAGAGGAGAAGACGGTGGAAAGGACGGGAGTTTATAAACCTGCATATCAAACCCTCAGAATCGCTATGAAGCTGCCAGGAGCTTTGTCGCCGCCGTTATCGCTCTCGAAACTTCCGTCGGACATCTCGGAGTCCCTCATAATATCGGTAACCCTTTTCTCTTTTGATCTTCATATTATTTTCCTTGGTTTGAAGTTGTTGTTTATTCAGATTTGCGTAGCCGTGCGTTTTGTTTGATGATTTGGGAATTGATTTGCAAAGAGGGAAAGATGAAGACGACGAAGACGAAAAGAGATTGTAGCTAGGTTTTTTTTTTATTGTGTTTGTTTTTTTAAGTTTTGTATCATTATTGTATATTCTTGTATGCGCACTTCCACAATTTCATACCATGCACCCGCATTTGCAACCTTCCGATCTGGATCATCCAACCACCTCACCCGAATCAGACGGTCACGATGAAACAAGTCGGAGGCCTCTTTTTTGAAGCCCCTTTTCTTATCTTTTTTAAATCTAAATTCAATTATATTTGGTAACCTTTGTTTTAAAAACTTCAATTAATTATTAACTAAAAATTTAAATATAATTATATTGTTAACTTTTTAAAAAAATCAAATTAATTAATTTTTAATCTAAATTCAATTATATTTGGCTAACCTTTTTCTAAAATTTAAATTAATTATTAACTAAAATTTAAATTCGATTATATTGTAACTTTGTTCCAAAATCCAATTAATTATTAACTTTAATTTAATTATCGTTAATACTTCGATTTAAAAACTTTATTTTGATTTGAAATCCAATTTTAACTATTATTAATCTTGGTAATAGAATTTCAAATTAATTGTTAACCTTAATTTGAAATTCAATTATTGTTAATACGTTGATTAAAAATTCAATTATTATAATTTTCATTGGATTTTGATTATAATTGTTATTAAATTCGATTTAAAAATTCAAATTATAATTTTAATTCAAATTGTAATCATTGCGATGTTGGACTGATATTTTCAATTAATTGTGGTGTATGACTGGTAATTTCAATTGAATCACGTTTTTGAAACTTTGGGCCTTAATTTCAAACGAGTAGTTCGTAACCCGAATTGTTAATTTTAAACCACGTTGCCGAACCATGGTGTGAACCTCTTTCCGTCCACTTGATATATGCATGTTCACGTCAAAGGGAAGAACCCGTGTATGAATTTATAAGTTGTATACATTTCATCTCATTTTCATCATGTTCCCTCGCTCGATCCTTGATTTTTCAAGTCGATCAGCTTAGGATTTATCCTTACGCCTTAAGATAGGATAGATTT